AGAACGTGATAAGTGCTTTCGTTTTTTCTTTTGAGAGAGAGGAAGAGAGGAAGAGAGAGAGAGGGGCAGAGAGAGAGAGAGAAAGGCAGAGAGAGAGAGGAAGAGAGAGAGAGAGGAAGAGAGCACAAGCAGGGGAGGGGCAGACAGAGAGAGACAGAGAAGCCCAAGCAGGTTCCACACCCAGCGCAGAGCCCGACTTGGGGTTCGATCTCACCAACCATGAGATCATGAGCTAAAATCAAGAGTCAGACATTTAATCAGCTGAGCCAACCAGGGGCCCCAGTAAGTGCTTTCATTTTTAATAAATGGAGGAGACCATGGTTTGTTCATTCAACCAATATTCCGTGACCACCGTCAGCACCAAGCCTCTGCTGGCCAGCATGGGAAATACACAGCTGGTGGAGGCCCACCTGTCCTATTGAGGAACAGAATTGGGGACCAAAGCAACAACGTGAACCCCACACAGACGGCTGAGCTCGGGCCCTCCCGCATGCGGGGATGTGGAGGAGGGCCGGCCGTGCACCTGCTGCGTTCATGTAACTGGCGCTTCACCTCGGCGCCAGCTTCTCAGTTACCCCCAGGACTCCACCGTTGATCCCGTTTGGTGTCCACAATCTGGAGACATTCCAGGACTGTGGGTTTCTGCTGTCTTCTTAGAAAGACTCGCGTGGCTGATAGGCATGAGCCCGGGTGAATGGAGCACAACGCGGCTGTGGAACACGCTCACTTCCACAGCACCTGCCGGGTAGAGGAGGGCGGCACCCGCCCTTCCTGTGCGTGCAGACTCTTTCGGTGGAGGGATATTCCAAGCCACTGGGTCCCGTAGACCGGGCATCTGGGCCATCTGCTGCCTGATGCGTGAGTGAAATCTGTCTTATGGGCTGGGACTTTGCTCTCACCTTGAAAGTGGGCACTTAGGGAACGGGGCACCGGAATGTGTTTGCGGTAAGCGTGATTTTGACCCATGGTTCACGCTAATGGACGGAGGAAAAGGCTTTGAGCATCGAGCCGTGTGAATTAGCAGAAGGCACCGGACGTTTGAGGCCAGCTAATTCCAACAGTCAGGAATTTAGTTGAAACGGTTTCAAAAATGTATCACAAGGAACTAAATGGTAGATGAGCAGACCGCAATGAGAAGGAAATCCTTCAGGAAGTTTGAGCAATAAAAACTATAGAACAGCAAAGGGACGGGCAACCCCCTCATTGCACAGATAGGTAAACGGAGGCCCAGCCAGAGTCCAGGAGCCCATCCAGGTGTTAACAAAGCCGAGACAGGAACACGGGGCTCCGGACGTGCTGTTCTCTCCACGTCGCCTCCCTGACGGCACCGAGGCTGTCTGCGCAACGTGTCACACGCGGACACCAGAGCCCGCTGCGTGAGGCACAGGTGTGATGGGGCACGAATGTGGCCGACTCCCTCCTCCTTCTCATTCTGCCCTGACGCCCCCACCCCCACACTTCCCACTGTCTATACTCTGCGATTTTTCTACTCTTCCTCCTTTTCTCTCCTCCACTGTCCCGCTGGCCACCCCGCAGGGCTCTAAAGGAGAGGGGGCCACGGTGGGCACTGGCAGATGGGTGCCTGGCCGTGGTTCCGTTGTCACCACTGCACCTGCAGGGGTAATGGGGCAGATGTGTGAGGAGGAGCTGTCCTGAGGGCCAGATGCCCCCCTCGGGGTGGAGCCCCCGACCTCCAGCTCAGACCCCACACTTTCAGGTGTCCTCTTGGCCAGACTCGCCACCTCCCACAACCCCAGGGGCCCGTCTGGGCAGAGCCAAGGCCAGTTGTGTCCGCTTCTAACTGCAGCATCCGTTTTAAGGATAACATCCACTTGCCCACTCTGAACGTTGCTGCCCTACCATTTAAGGTCTGAGCAGCAGGCAGGCCCCCAGGAGATCTGAGGCAGGTAGGTGTGTGTGGACAGGCGGGGGACAGGGCACAAAGCCCGGCCGCAGTGCTGGCTCACCCCACCTGAAGGAGTCCCCACTGCCAGCTGGAGCGGAACATTGTGGGTGGCATCGCTGAACAGCACAGACGGCCGGTTTTACGTCACTTCCTAGCAATTTGGATGAACCTGAGACGGTCAGAGACGGTCAGAGAGAGGCCTGGTGCCCTGTGCGGGTAGCACTGGTGCAGAACAGAGCTCCCTCATGGGCAGGTGACAACAGTCGTTACGCTCCGGAACATCGTGGGCCAACCTGGCACGAGCACCTACCGCTGATCCTTTATCTGGACAAACAGACCAGACCCATGAGTGAGTCCCCCGACCTCCATCTCCGAGAAGCCTGGCTCGTGTGGAGCTCGGGCTGGACGCACTGTCAGGTGGTCGTTGGGCATGAGGGGGTGGACAGCAAGGTGGGGGCGGCTGGGCCTGTGTGTCTGAGGCCACTGACCCGGTCTCCCAGTCCGTGGAAAGAGTCGCACGAAAGAAAGCTCAGAACTCTGTTTCATCTTAGAAATGCTACAGAGACCAATATATGTTCTCTTCAGGTTTTTTTTAGGTTATAAGTATTATTCTTGCTTTGATTATTATGTTCTAAGAGATGCTTAGTTTCAAAAGGCAGATGACCAATCGTGCTGGGATTCTGGGGTTGGTGGAGCCTTGGCGATCACCCAGTGGCCCTTGCTTTACAGATGAAGAAAGAAAGGGACACCCACGCTGGAAAGGGGACTGACCGCAGTCACACACTTGGATAGGAATGAAGTCCTTCCGTTCTGGGAGCCAGTGCATGCCAGCGACCTCCAGGGCCCCCGATGAATGGCGTTGTCTTTACTAGAGTATGAGATGCACCCAAGCAACCAGAAGAAGTAATTCTCCAGGTCAAACAGTGTCAGGGCCACCCCTTCACTCATGCCGTTCGTCCAGATGGTCTGGGGACTGTTGACGGTAGTGACAAACAGCACAACAGTAAGTGTCCAAAACACAGAGGGACATGCCTGCTGAGCACCCAATTCCTGAGTGAGAATAAAAATCACCATGATAATCAACAGCAGGCACCAACTATGAGTACTGCGTGTGTGCCCAGCACTGACCTCTCTACAGAAGTGACCCTTCCAGCCCCGAAGCAAGTGTGTGAGATGTGCACTTACAGCTGGGGACCCTGGAGTACAACGTCAAATGTCTCCCCAGCCCCTCACTCTGTGACACCTCCCACAAGCCATTCACACACATAATCTTCCAGACACAGTGCATCCTGTCTGCCCGTCCCACCCCTCAACCATGGACCTAAGTCTCGCTGCGGGGAGGGACAGTGCCTATCAGGGACTTGTGTGTCCAGCAGAGGCTCTGGGGACCGTCATCGGACATCAGGTCAGCACAGTGACTGCCTCGCCTTCCCCTTCCTTCCAGGCCCCTCCTGGACGCGTCCCCAGGCCGGTCTGCCCCTTCCTAAACCTTGCCAGACACAATCCTACTGGCCCCACCATTGCACACTCTGAACTCTGTGTAAAACGGTTTTGTTTCCATTTTCTGCACAGATCATGCTCTTCGTTGTGTTCACGTCTTTGCGAAGTCTCTGGGCTTTTTTAATGTTTGTTTATTTTTGAGAGAGAGAGAGAGACATAGAATGAGTGGGAGAGGGGCAGAGAGAGAGGGAGACACAGAATGTGAAGCAGGATCCGGGCTCTGAGCTGTCAGCACAGAGCCCGACGCGGGGCTCAAACCCACGGACGGTGAGATCATGACCTAAGCCGAAGTCAGACGCCCAACTGACTGAGCCCCCCAAGTGCCCCACAAAGTCTCTGTTTTGCCTGAAATATGTTTCCATAGCTTCATGCAACCTCTTCAAGCCCAGCCCCAGCCTCATTTGTCTGCAATATGGCTGAGCTCCCTTGACCCCCTGACCCTCTCGACGGGACGCCCTCAACATGCATTTATCGTAGCATTTATCACACATCACCTATCCATTCAACAGCCCTTTACTGTGTGCCCGTGACATGCCACGTGTTTGGCACACATGTCACCTGGGCTGAGTGGCTCCAACACAGTCTTCCTCACCGGTCCATATCTATGCCTCTCCCCTCTGAATCCGCCGGGGCCCAGCACCCAGCCCCAAGTTTCCTCCCCAAATAAGCATGTACTGGATGGTCCATGTGAGACTGGATACTTCTCATCTCAGGTCTAAACGTAAGCCTATCATAGTGCTCCCAAAGCATTCAGTCAGCATCAGAGACCACACGTCTTATTTTCGACAAATGGAATAGGTGCCCACAGCATCTGTGCTCTGTGTCTCTCCCCCTTATTCCTGTGGTGTATCGTGCGGTTTCCAGGAAGACAAGAACCGTGATAGCAAAGTCACTTTGGAAAGTTGCCCTCTATGGAACACAGGTCCTGGTCCGGGGGTCTTGCCCAAGTTTGGACTGATTTCAGCAGGGTTTAGGGATGGCTGCCTACAACACTGACTTTTTTCCATAACGTTGGGACTGACAATGTTCATCAATTTAAACTGTGCGGCTGTTCTCACCAGCAGGCATTTGTGGCTCATCTTCTATGAGTAGCTCGTTAGTTTACAGATACCATTTTGTCGGCAGCATCTACAGATACAAACACATCCAAAGCTTTCTCACAACACATATATTGTCATATTTCACAGAAGAGGGGATATGTGAATATACTGTGCATGAACTAATTCTTCTCGTGAAACGCATCATACGTAATATGTATCTGGCAAGATGTTTAAGAAAGAGAATTTGTGTGGTCGACTGTCGATTGTGAGGGGTGTCACAAACCGCCCTCCTGAGCGCCATGGAGTGTGTGTCCCTACATGATGGGCGGGACAAGGGGCTGGGAGGTGGCATGTGTGTGTGGTGACTAGGTGCCTGGAGCTCTGTCGCGGTCGCAGCATTGGCACCAAGGCTGTGCACACGCAGGAGCGTGTGCAAGACCCTGCCCGCGCCTGTGTGGGTGGCACTCACACTAAGCCCTAGCTCTCTCGCAGGGCGCCCATGCTCTAACCTGCAAAGGTAGTGACACAGGTCTTCTCTCTCTGTCTCTACACAGCGTGTATGGCTGCCCCTTGGCTAAAAAAAGAAAAACGCAGGATAAGCAGCCCCAAGAGCCTGCTCCCAAGCGGAAACCATTCACCGTGAAAGCCGACAGCTCCTCGGTGGACGAGTGTTATGAGAGCGAGGGCTCAGAGGACGTGGATGACAAGGAGGAGGACGAGGAGGAGTACTCGGAAGACGAGGACGAGCGCAGGGAGGAGGACGAGGAGGATGAGGAAGGCGACCGAGAGGAGGAGGAGGAGCTAGAGGAGGAGGAGGACGATGACGACGAGGATGGGGAGGACGTGGAGGACGAGGAGGAGGACGACGAGGAGGAGGAGGAGGACGACGAGGAGGAGGACGAGAATGGTAATCTTTAAAATAGTAGTGACGCGTCCGGTGGTGATGGGGGCCAGCGTGTCATTGGGGAGGCGCAGGTGCAGGTGCAGGTGCAGGTGGAGGCGCAGGTGCAGGCGCAGGTGGAGGCGCAGGTGGAGGCACAGGTGCAGGTGCAGGTGGAGGTGCAGGTGGAGGCACAGGTGGAGGCCCAGGTGCAGGTGCAGGTGGAGGCACAGGTGGAGGCGCAGATGGAGGGACAGGCGCAGGTGGAGGCGCAGGTGCAGGTGGAGGCGCAGGTGCAGGTGGAGGCGCAGGTGGAGGCACAGGTGCACGTGGAGGCACAGGTGCAGGTGGAGGCACAGGTGCAGGTGGAGGTGAAGGTGGAGGCGCAGGTGCAGGTGGAAGTGCAGGTGGAGGCGCAGGTGGAGGTGCAGGTTCAGGTGGAGGTGCA